TCCCCCCCCCCCCCTATTGGCTACTGGGGTTCTTGCCTGCCTGTTGCTGGGGTCGGTGTGGCACAGTCGTGGGTCCTACTCTCACTAACAACTACATTCTAACAGGCTTATGCGCAACACAGTACACATACAGACACACACAGTCTCACACATAGACAAACAAATGTAGGTTGTCCCTGGTAGAATTATTCCTGATGCTTTTCTTTCAGTTACTTATTTAAATTAATTATTATTCCAGCTCGTGGCTGTGCTGTGTTGCTTATCTATTGTGCGTGACTGTTTCTTGTTTTCATTTTTCTCTTAGTTGTCTTACTATGTCAGCTGTTTATTGCTGCTGTTCGGCTGGTTGTCTTTTACTATTATTATTTTTTATTGTTTGTTTTTGTTTGTGTTTGTTTGTTGTTGTTTTCTCCTCCCCAAGCCCCCCTCTCTGTTCTATTGCAGGTTTGGTTGCTTTCTGCAATTGGTGTTTCCCCTGCTTTCCCTGTTGTCCCCACCTTCCATCCCCCTTCTCTTGCAGGTCTTGTCCTTTCTCTGTGCTGTTCTGTTTGTGCCCCCCATCCCCGTGTCTGCCCCCTGTCCGGCCCGCTGACAAATCAATGACAAAGGAGTATTAATACTCTGTTAAAGTAAAAAAAAAAATCCTTAGTCGCTGCCCTACACCTTTGTTACATGTGTGTAGTTGGCTACGCTCAAAATCAATATTAAAGTGTGATGTAGTTCTTCCGGTGACTCCTGCAGCGTGCACTTGACATTATTTAATGTGTTTGATGAAGCCTCTACTATGTGCTGTTTTTTATAAGTCTGTCACATTTAAAATGCAAACTGTCACAGCAGATTGAAGAACGGCGTGTTCTCGGCTTCATCTTTACTCAAACGTTAGGAATTTTACAGTCTCAGTGTGAAGAAAATGCTAAAAGCTCCTGTGTGCTGCTGTGTCTGATATGAACTCTGTCTGTCCTGTTTTAAAGGGCAGCAGTAGTTTCCAGGAGCTGGTGCTGGTGGAGAACACCAGACTCAGTGAGCAGTACTTCTCTGCTGTGCAGAAGTTTGTGGTGTTTGACCTCGGCCTGACTCTACTGCCGGTCAGCGGGCAGACTGAGGCCTCGCAGCTCATTGCTCAGATCGTAAGTAGTGAAGACAAAACAACAGAGCTGCAAGAAATCCCATCCAGCAAGGGATTGAGTTGGCCAATCAAATCCATGCAACCACACATTCCTGGCAAGACACTGCTGCAGGAACCTGAAGGCTCGACCCTGGGTCTTTATCTAACCAGGAAGGTTTGGATTTGATGCTAATGCAGATACACTTTGGCTCACATGGACACCAAGTCTTTATTTGAACGTTCACTTGACACCAGCTGGTGAAACATGACCAGCTGTGAGACTAGAAATGGGACGTGTGTGTGTGAAAGAGTAATTTAGAAAGTCAGCAGATATTTTCCACATTGTGAATAAAAACTAAATACATTAGCATGTTTATATACTGTATACAGAAAGCATGATGGTGCAGTCAGTGGTTTGTCTGTTAGTAGACTGATACGTGTGGTCAGACGGGTTTTGCACTTTGTTTTTAAGGAGGACGTCAGAGGGCAGCAGTGAAATGAAGGACTGAAAACAAACAGTCCATTTTGCTGTGACATGTAGATTACATAAACTGACCATCAGCATCCAGCTATATAATGACAAGATGCAGAAAAAAGGTTAAATACACGTCCTTATGAGGAAAGCTGTTGTGTATTTATTTCATGCTGTGAGGAGCAACATTCGTCGTCTGCAGTTGCAGTCTGCCAGTATGCAACACTTCTTATAGAAACAATGATCAGACAAAAGTTTTGGATTTGGCAGCCAGACATTTAAGGAACATGCAAAAGTTTCTTATCTCTGATTATTTAACAGTCTTGAGGGCAAGTAATGCAGTCAGTAGAATAAATTAGACGACAGTAGATAAAATCAATCAGAGCTGTAAAATTAGTGTGTTGTAGTAAAAAAAGAAAAACAAATATTGAAAAATTTGACAAATCAACAATGTATCAGAAATAAAGATACATTTATTACATTAAATGTAGGAATCAAATGTTTGTTTTACTCAGTTTGATTGACAGGAGAGATGATCAGAGGGGCAGAGTTTTTACCACCATATTTAAGACCAGGATTAAAGTATGGGTAGAGTTTCTCAGTGAAGCGGCAGCCAGTAAAGGAGTAGATAAGAGCTGCAGCATCAACGTCATAAAAGGAGACCAGACCCTCCTCAAAAATCCACAAACACCCCCACCTTCTCAGGCTGAGACTTCAGAGAGAGACGGACTGGAGGGTCATCAAGAGCGTAGTACTCATTTTCAATCCTCAAACATGTCCAGTAACCATCCTGAGGACTCCTTGTGATTTGTCCCTTCCTGTTGATCGACTCTCTGGCCACTCCTAAATCCCACTCAGTCTTCCCTTTAACCTGAACCTCGTAGTAAAATCTTCCTGAAGAGAAACTCTGCTTTGCTAAGACAATAGCAGAAGGAAAAAATCTCTCTGGATTGTCTGGGAGATTCTTCCTTACATCACCAAGTTTAACTTGTTTTCCATCATCAGTCAGGATGAGCCAGGGATTTGCTGTATCAGGATCGAGGGTCACATCCACTGCATACTGCTGGACCCTCTTCATCTCGGCCTCCAGCAGCTTCTTCATCTGTTCACTGAGCGTCTCCTCCAGCTGATTCACAGCTCTCCTCACAGTCCCCTCATATGAAGGTGGACGGACGCTGACTTCTGTCCAGTCCTTGGTGGGTGGAGCAGAGCTTCTCTTCTTCAGCTCAGAGATTTCCTGTTCCAGCTCTTTGATGAAGCCTTCAGCCTGTTTCTCTGTCTTTTCTCTGCTTCTCTTTGATCGTGTAGATGAGCTCGGCCTGGCTTCTCTCAACAGACTCCTTCAGAGCGCTGAAGACCTGAACACCACCTGCTATCTCTCTGTCTGCATCTTCCTTACTGAGCTCCACTGAGCGTTTGATCTCCTGAATCCTCAGTCGTCTCTTCAGGATTTCAACGCCTTCTTCTTTCAGAGGAACAGCCTCCTCTGTCTTGGAGTCTAAAACCATCCAGAGCATGAAGACACACATCAGACCCCCAGGCAGAACTTAAGGGCCTTCAGTTTGGTGCTGCTGCTGCTGGCTTTCTGTTGAGCTGACTGTCTGAACTGAGCAGCCATCTCAGAGATGAAAGTGTTGACCTGCAGCTCAGGTTTTGTGTTGAAAACCTCTTTACAGTTGGGACACTGACACGGGACATTTGTATTCCAGTGTTCAGTGATGCAGGTTTTACAGAAGTTGTGTCCACATGGTGTGCTGACTGGATCAGTGAACACATCCAGACAGATGGAGCACAGAAACTGATCTTCAGTCAGTAGACAGCTGGCAGCAGACATATCCACACTCTGAGGACAAAAGTGAAAATGAGATTTATTTGAAAACTCGAATTGCCATCACAACACAAAACAGCAATTTTGCATGTATATGATACTCTACAGTTTGCAATAGCGCTCCAGCACAAAGGAGGCTAACGGGCTCACGGCCGATGTGCACAGCTGTAGGGTTAGCCGGTCGACATGCATATATTTACTGACTTAGGTTTAGGCACTAACTTATGCGATGGTTAGGGTAAATTGCCTCGGGGGGTTGTCAAGTCCTTAAACTCCTTTAGTTTTGTATTTATTACCAAAGCATTTATCTGTAATACAGTTAAAATAGGGAAAATGTGAAAGGTTGCGTTGCAGGTTAATTTAAGGTGTTCGCCCCTAAATTTTCTGCCTAAAATATTCAGTTAGGGGCCACAGTGCTCCTAGTATAAACAGTTAGTCTGGAGCCCTGAAAGCTGAAGTGTTTTCTTGTTTGTTTCTTTTTTTTTTTGTCCTGCCCAGCAGTCTGGTATAAAGTTTGGTGAGCTGGATACCATGTTGTGCCAGACAGATTTTACTTTAACAAGAGAGTATTAATATACTCCATTGTCATTGATTTGTCAGCGGGCCGGACAGGGGGGCAGACACGGGGATGGGGGGGCACAAACAGAACAGCACAGAGAAAGGACAAGACCTGCAAGAGAAGGGGGATGGAAGGTGGGGACAACAGGGAAAAGCAGTGGGAAACACCAATTGCAGAAAGCAACCAAACCTGCAATAGAACAGAGAGGGGGCTTGGGGAGGAGAAAAACAACAACAAACACAAACAAACACAAACAATAAAAATAATAATAATAGTAAAAGACAACCAGCAGCAATAAACAGCTGACATAGTAAGACAACTAAGAGAAAAATGAAAACAAGAAACAGTCACGCACAATAGATAAGCAACACAGCACAGCCACGAGAGCTGGAATAATAATTAATTTAAATAAGTAACTGAAAGAAAAGCATCAGGAATAATTCTACCAGGGACAACCTACATTTGTTTGTGTCTGTGTGCGTGTGTGTACATGTGTGTGCGCATAAGCCTGTTAAAGAATGTAGTTGTTAGTGAGAGTAGGACGCCACGACTGTAACAGGCAGGCAAGAACCCCAGTAGCCAATAGGGGGGGAGAGAAAAAAATGACTCCCAGATGCACCGCGAAGTGTTTTCTTAATGTTGTTTGTTGAAACGCAGTAAATAATATCAGCTGTACTCACCAGTGTTCCTCAGAGACTCTGCTGTGTTGTTAAGTCAGCTGAACTTTCTTTCATGAGAAACAGAGACTCTTCTGTACTGCAGGTCTGCTGACACACAGACGAATGTTAAGTTTCATTTGAGAAAAACGCTCATGCTTTTCCAGTGCTGCTCCGCCTCTTCCTGCTCTACAGGTGAGGTTTTGTTGGCCTTCAGATTTGAGCTGATTACGACCTTCTTTTGGCACAAGGTAAGGGGCGGCGCCAGAGGGTGTATTTGCTATAGCAACACCAAGATTTGGCCTAGCAACTGCTAAGCAACCCCAAGGGTTTTTTTTTTATGAAACCAAAAAGATATTGCAGAAAAACACAGAAATATGCTTATTTAAAAAATCTGTGTATGGTTCTTTCTTTCATTATTCCGTTTTAAAACTTACTTGCTGCTGTGAAAGCTGTTATGCATATTAGGCAAAGCCTTAATGCTGTCTGAAACTCTTTTTTAGATTTGAAAAACTATTTTATTTGCGAAAATGAAAAAAAGGGCAATGCTTTTTCTCCACATGCAGACCACATTAGACCAGGTCCAGATCCAAAACCACTATACCTAGAGCTCTCAAATCGGGACTATATTATTCCTCACAGGTCTGCATGTGGAGAAAAAGCTGTGAAATTGCCCTTTTTTCTTTTTTCACAAATAAAATAAAGTTTTTTCAAATCTAAAAAAGTGTTTCAGACAGCGTTAAGGCTGTGTAAACAGTGATAAACCATCCACGTGACCCGAGTCTGTTTTAGTTTAAGAGAGTCGAACACAGAAGGGGTCAAACTGAGCCGTCTGGCCTGAAGCTCTCGTAGCAGTAGACTTTGTTGTCTGATTTTCCAACCTGCTCTGATCGTCCCCAGGTTCACGGGGAGGGCCGAGAGAACCCCTTCAGGAGGAGGACTTCATCTCGGCTGTTGGACCCGCTGGTCCCGGCTCTGGTCCAGCAGGTCCCCGGGGTCGGCAGGGTCAAAGCTCTGGCCCTGCTGCGGCACTTCTCCAGCATCCGGCAGCTCTGCAACGCGGCCCCTGCTGAGCTGGAGCCCATCGTGGGTCAGGCTGCAGCTCAGCAAATCCACAGCTTCTTCCACAAAGACACTGCTGCAGGAACCTGAAGGCTCGACCCTGGGTCTTTATCTAACCAGGAAGGTTTGGATTCGATGCTAGTGCAGATACACTTTGGCTCACATGGACACCAAGTCTTTATTTGAACGTTCACTTGACACCAGCTGGTGAAACATGACCAGCTGTGAGACTAGAAATGGGACGTGTGTGTGTGAAAGAGTAATTTAGAAAGTCAGCAGATATTTTCCACATTATGTGAATAAAAACTAAATACATTAGCATGTTTATATACTGTATACAGAAAGCAGTGATGGTGCAGTCAGTGGTTTGTCTGTTAGTAGACTGATACGTGTGGTCAGACGGGTTTTGCACTTTGTTTTTAAGGAGGACGTCAGAGGGCAGCAGTGAAATGAAGGACTGAAAACAAACAGTCCAGTTTGCTGTAACATGTAAATTACATAAACTGACCATCAGCATCCAGCTATATAATGACAAGATGCAGAAAAAAGGTTAAATACACGTCCTTATGAGGAAAACTGTTGTATTTATTTCATGCTGTGAAGAGCAACATTCGTCGTCTGCAGTTGCAGTCTGCCAGTATGCAACACTTCTTATAGAAACAATGATCAGACAAAAGTTTTGGATTTGGCAGCCAGACATTTAAGGAACATGCAAAAGATTCTTATCTCTGATTATTTAACAGTCTTGAGGGCAAGTAATGCAGTCAGTAGAATAAATTAGACGACAGTAGATAAAATCAATCAGAGCTGTAAAATTAGTGTGTTGTAGTAAAAAAAGAAAAACAAATTTGACAAATCAACAATGTATCAGAAATAAAAGATACATTTATTACATTAAATGTAGGAAATCAAATGTTTGTTTTACTCAGTGTGATTGACAGGAGAGATGATCAGAGGGGCAGAGTTTTTACCACCATATTTAAGACCAGGATTAAAGTATGGGTAGAGTTTCTCAGTGAAGCGGCAGCCAGTAAAGGAGTAGATAAGAGCTGCAGCATCAACGTCATAAAAGGAGACCAGACCCTCCTCATAATCCACAAACACCCCCACCTTCTCAGGCCGAGACTTCAGAGAGAGACGGACTGGAGGGTCATCAAGAGCGTAGTACTCATTTTCAATCCTCAAACATATCGTCCAGTAACCATCCTGAGGACTCCTTGTGATTTGTCCCTTCCTGTTGATCGACTCTCTGGCCACTCCTAAACCCCACTCAGTCTTCCCTTTAACCTGAACCTCGTAGTAAAATCTTCCTGAAGAGAAACTCTGCTTTGCTAAGACAATAGCAGAAGGAAAAAATCTCTCTGGATTGTCTGGGAGATTCTTCCTTACATCAGCATGTTTAACTTGTTTTCCATCATCAGACAGAATGAGCCAGGGATTTGCTGTATCAGGATCGAGGGTCACATCCACTGCATACTGCTGGACCCTCTTCATCTCGGCCTCCAGCAGCTTCTTCATCTGTTCACTGAGCGTCTCCTCCAGCTGATTCACAGCTCTCCTCACAGTCCCCTCATATGAAGGTGGACGGACGCTGACTTCTGTCCAGTCCTTGGTGGGTGGAGCAGCGTTCAGGGACGGGAGGCTTTGGAGGAGGTGGAGGTGGTCTTCAGAGCGTGAGAGCTGCTCCACCTCAGAGCTTCTCTTCTTCAGCTCAGAGATTTCCTGTTCCAGCTCTTTGATGAAGCCTTCAGCCTGTTTCTCTGTCTCTCTCTGCTTCTCTTTGATCGTGTCGATGAGCTCGGCCTGGCTTCTCTCAACAGACTCCTTCAGAGCGCTGAAGACCTGAACACCACCTGCTATCTCTCTGTCTGCATCTTCCTTACTGAGCTCCACTGAGCGTTTGATCTCCTCAATCTTCAGTCGTCTCTTCTGGATCGTCTGCTGAGTTTCAGCCTCTGTCTTCCCCAGCTCGGCCTTCTTTCCTTCATATTCTTCTTTCAGAGGAACAACATCATGTGTCTTGTGGTCTGAAACAGAGCAGAGCATGCAGACACACATCTGGTCGGTCTTACAGAACAGCTCCAGCAGTTTATCGTGCTTCGTACACATCCTGCCTTCCAGGTTCTCCACAGGGTCGATCAGCTGATGTCTTTTCAGGCCTGCCATTGTCAGATGAGGCTCCAGGTGAGTCTCACAGTAGGAGACCAGACAAACCAGGCAGGACTTCAGGGCCTTCAGTTTGGTTCCAGTGCAGACGTCACAGGGAACTTCTCCTGGTTTGGCAGCTTGTTGCTCTGAGCTGCTGCTGCTGGCTTTCTGTTGAGCTGACTGTCTGAACTGAGCAGCCATCTCAGAGATGAAAGTGTTGACCTGCAGCTCAGGTTTTGTGTTGAAAACCTCTTTACAGTTGGGACACTGACACGGGACATTTGTATTCCAGTGTTCAGTGATGCAGGTTTTACAGAAGTTGTGTCCACATGGTGTGCTGACTGGATCAGTGAACACATCCAGACAGATGGAGCACAGAAACTGATCTTCAGTCAGTAGACAGCTGGCAGCAGACATATCCACACTCTGAGGACAAAAGTGAAAATGAGATTATTTGAAAACTCGAATTGCCATCACAACACAAAACAGCAATTTGCATGTATATGATACTCTACAGTTTGCAATAGCGCTCCAGCACAAAGGAGGCTAACGGGCTCACGGCCGATGTGCACAGCTGTAGGGTTAGCCGGTCGACATGCATATATTTACTGACTTAGGTTTAGGCACTAACTTATGCGATGGTTAGGGTAAATTGCCTCGGGGGGTTGTCAAGTCCTTAAACTCCTTTAGTTTTGTATTTATTACCAAAGCATTTATCTGTAATACAGTTAAAATAGGGAAAATGTGAAAGGTTGCGTTGCAGGTTAATTTAAGGTGTTCGCCCCTAAATTTTCTGCCTAAAATATTCAGTTAGGGGCCACAGTGCTCCTAGTATAAACAGTTAGTCTGGAGCCCTGAAAGCTGAAGTGTTTTCTTGTTTGTTTCTTTTTTTTTTTGTCCTGCCCAGCAGTCTGGTATAAAGTTTGGTGAGCTGGATACCATGTTGTGCCAGACAGATTTTACTTTAACAAGAGAGTATTAATATACTCCATTGTCATTGATTTGTCAGCGGGCCGGACAGGGGGCAGACACGGGGATGGGGGGGCACAAACAGAACAGCACAGAGAAAGGACAAGACCTGCAAGAGAAGGGGGATGGAAGGTGGGGACAACAGGGAAAAGCAGTGGGAAACACCAATTGCAGAAAGCAACCAAACCTGCAATAGAACAGAGAGGGGGGCTTGGGGAGGAGAAAAACAACAACAAACAATAAAAATAATAATAATAGTAAAAGACAACCAGCCGAACAGCAGCAATAAACAGCTGACATAGTAAGACAACTAAGAGAAAATTAAAACAAGAAACAGTCACGCACAATAAATAAGCAACACAGCACAGCCACGAGAGCTGGAATAATAATTAATTTAAATAAGTAACTGAAAGAAAAGCATCAGGAATAATTCTACCAGGGACAACCTACATTTGTTTGTGTCTGTGTGCGTGTGTGTACATGTGTGTGCGCATTAGCCCTTTTAAAGAATGTACGAACTATATTATTCCTCACAGGTCTGCATGTGGAGAAAAAGCTGTGAAATTGCCCTTTTTTCTTTTTTCACAAATAAAATAAAGTTTTTTCAAATCTAAAAAAGTGTTTCAGACAGCGTTAAGGCTTTGCCTAAAATGCGTAACAGCTTTCACAGCAGCAAGAGGGGCAAAAAACAGAGAATCGGTCGCGAAGAAAGAAAGTTAACTTTCACTTAGGTTTCCCTTAAGTTTCCCCTTAACTGCCGAATCGGAAGCTGACTTCAGCGTCGTCTGCCCGAGGCATTTAAATTCCAGCAGTCTCGCAGAAAATACGGAAGAGAGGCCTCCGCTGCCCATCAGTAGACCTCCGCTGCCCATCAGTAGACCTCCGCTCCCCGGCAGTAGACCTCCGCTGCCCGGCAGTAGACCTCCGCTGCCCATCAGTAGACCTCCGCTCCCCGGCAGTAGACCTCCGCTGCCCGGCAGTAGACCTCCGCTGCCCGGCAGTAGACCTCCGCTGCCCACAGTAGACCTCCGCTGCCCGGCAGTAGACCTCCGCTGCCCATCAGTAGACCTCCGCTCCCCGGCAGTAGACCTCCGCTGCCCATCAGTAGACCTCCGCTCCCCGGCAGTAGACCTCCGCTGCCCGGCAGTAGACCTCCGCTGCCCGGCAGTAGACCTCCGCTGCCCATCAGTAGACCTCCGCTCCCCGGCAGTAGACCTCCGCTGCCCATCAGTAGACCTCCGCTGCCCATCAGTAGACCTCCGCTCCCCGGCAGTAGACCTCCGCTGCCCATCAGTAGACCTCCGCTCCCCGGCAGTAGACCTCCGCTGCCCGGCAGTAGACCTCCGCTGCCCATCAGTAGACCTCCGCTGCCCACAGTAGACCTCCGCTGCCCATCAGTAGACCTCCGCTGCCCATCAGTAGACCTCCGCTCCCCGGCAGTAGACCTCCGCTGCCCATCAGTAGACCTCCGCTCCCCGGCAGTAGACCTCCGCTGCCCACAGTAGACCTCCGCTGCCCACAGTAGACCTCCGCTCCCCGGCAGTAGACCTCCGCTGCCCATCAGTAGACCTCCGCTGCCCACAGTAGACCTCCGCTCCCCGGCAGTAGACCTCCGCTGCCCATCAGTAGACCTCCGCTCCCCGGCAGTAGACCTCCGCTGCCCGGCAGTAGACCTCCGCTGCCCATCAGTAGACCTCCGCTGCCCACAGTAGACCTCCGCTGCCCATCAGTAGACCTCCGCTGCCCATCAGTAGACCTCCGCTGCCCACAGTAGACCTCCGCTGCCCATCAGTAGACCTCCGCTCCCCGGCAGTAGACCTCCGCTGCCCACAGTAGACCTCCGCTGCCCGGCAGTAGACCTCCGCTGCCCACAGTAGACCTCCGCTGCCCATCAGTAGACCTCCGCTCCCCGGCAGTAGACCTCCGCTGCCCATCAGTAGACCTCCGCTGCCCACAGTAGACCTCCGCTGCCCATCAGTAGACCTCCGCTCCCCGGCAGTAGACCTCCGCTGCCCATCAGTAGACCTCCGCTCCCCGGCAGTAGACCTCCGCTGCCCGGCAGTAGACCTCCGCTGCCCGGCAGTAGACCTCCGCTGCCCATCAGTAGACCTCCGCTGCCCATCAGTAGACCTCCGCTGCCCATCAGTAGACCTCCGCTGCCCGGCAGTAGACCTCCGCTGCCCACAGTAGACCTCCGCTGCCCATCAGTAGACCTCCGCTGCCCATCAGTAGACCTCCGCTGCCCATCAGTAGACCTCCGCTCCCCGGCAGTAGACCTCCGCTGCCCGGCAGTAGACCTCCGCTGCCCACAGTAGACCTCCACTGCCCATCAGTAGACCTCCGCTGCCCATCAGTAGACCTCCGCTGCCCATCAGTAGACCTCCGCTCCCCGGCAGTAGACCTCCGCTGCCCGGCAGTAGACCTCCGCTGCCCACAGTAGACCTCCGCTCCCCGGCAGTAGAC